ATACTGCATAAGGCTTTGAGAATTTTCTTAGGATTACAAAAATTGGACATTAGTGAACATATGTATGAAAAAACAGTGATAAGTGAAACATATCAAAAAGCACCAACTACCAAATACTTGTCTCTAGGTTGATTGTATCTATAATGCTGTGAAGAGATCTACCTCTTTGGATAAGTCTCTAAATGTGGAGATACTTTTGGAGCACACCCGAGGATCCAGAGGAGAGCACAACTCTAGAACCATGCTCCTACCACTGATACAGAGCTTCAGTCCTGCCATCAAGGTGTCCCTGTATCATTCACCCAGCCTCAGAGGCCTGCTAAAGCTGCTTCTTCCTGAGAGGTTTAATGAGACAGTGGCCCTGACACATCTTAAGGTGTATCTTACTGATGACACTTTGATTATGAGTGGGTAAGTTCCTGTATTAAAACAAGACTAAGAGAGAGATAAGTTAACCCTTAAACTCCCATCAGTGACCAAGACAGAATTCTCCTTACAATATCAATATAATATCAAGTATGCAAATATGCAAGAATAATGACAAATGTGTAGTAGGGGATTATTAGTTGATTCAATACCAAATTCTCCAAACTAAAATCATAACAATTGTACAGCAGACAGTAAGGAGAAATACTAATAAGATCTGAGGGTGAAAGGGTTAAAGATGAAACATGTACATGAGAGAAGCAGTCAGTCATTCATTAAATTAATGTTATTAGTTTATCAGATTGTCAATTTAAATTCAATCTGCTAGTCATTCTCTCTCTCCATCTCTTAGTACGTGCTTATATCTTCCCTAGAGCTAACCTGAGTGCAGACTATTTCACCAACCGTCAGGACCGCTACATTGAGATCAAGAATTGTCCTCAGTTGGCAAACTTTTTTCATAGCCTTGTTTCAACTGTTCGAGCTTTCTCACTTCAACTTCAACCAGATAACACCACAAAAATGGGAGAAAACTTTCCTCTTCATCCAACTAAAGGATTTGATGGTGGAAATAAATTCAAGGCTGAAGCAGGAAGGAGGGTGTCCAAGTTCTTGCAGAACCAAAAAGAAAAGAACAATTGCAGCGATTTATTGAGGACACCAGACCAGGTTTGTGATACCTGGGTTGTTCCTTTGGTCCAAATGTTTCCGTTTGGCATTCGTCAGGATGAGGTTGTCACCAGCAAGTTACTGAGTCATGCACCTCAAGCTAGCAAGCTATTCTTAGCATCAGGGTATTTTAATTTAACAAGAAAGTACAGGAATATTATTTTGAAGTCACCTGCCAAATGTGAAATACTGACAGCGCACCCAACTGTGAATGGTTTCTACCAAGCTAAAGGAGTGGCTGGTAGGTACAGGTTAAATAGTCCCACACTAAAAGATTATAACTTAACTGCACAGATTCTGTATACAAGTTACAGTGTGGTAATGGTAACCGAACTGATTGGAGTCCAATTCTGCCTCTAATCAAAACTATATTGAAATTCCAGAACATGATTGGTTATCATCAGCCCGATTTAAGCATTAATAGGACAGGGTTTGCATCGTGCTGTTGTTACACATTTCACCTAGTTAACTGTAAGTTGCTTTTTTATGAAAATGTCAAGTTTATTTCTCAAATTTGTCATAGTTTTGATTAATTGGTAACATGACTTCATGTCATCCAATTCTGTCTGTAATCATACTCATGATCAACAAATCGTACTCCCACTTTGTAGTAGTCTGATTTTGTGGTTTATAAGTTTATAAGGATCTCAAGGCAAATAAAGTAAAGTAAACATCGCCAATAACAGTGATTGATCCTTATAAACTTTGTTGCGAATAAAAAGAAATGCTTTTTACTAAAGATCTTGTCTAAAAAGCCAAGTTTTCGTTAAAAAATCTGAGCGATTGACATGATGAGTCTTTACGGTGTTGTTGTCGCACAATAACTCGTTCGCGTCTTAAGCTGTTATAGTCATTGGTGATGTTCACCAATGTTCACCAATGTTTAAGCTTTTGTTTGATGTTCACCAATGTTAGTGTTTTTTTACTAAATATCGTTTAATTTTCTGTATGTTTAACTTCTAATAAGTTGTACTGGATTGACGACCAACTCACCGACGTTTCTACAAGATTTTGTCGGCGATGGGGAATGGCGGGAGTTGGATAAAGAATGGACTGTAATGCTATTTGACCGTAATTCATAAAAACTTGCTAAAAAAATACTATCATTAATTTCAGAAGAGAAAGGTTTATTAAATTTTATTTGAAAGATTATTCTTAGTTTTATCTGAGTGGTTCTGCTCTAAGTGATTGTTCAATACAGATGCAAGACAATTCAAACAGGCCATTGGCATCACTCAAAGGCAACCATGACTGCCTATTAAAGGTCTCATCTAAATAGGCTTGAAAATTGCAGTGATTAAGGGAAGACAAATTCGAAACTTTCACAACCAACCACTTAATATGGGGCAGCTTAGTAGAGGTTCGACTGTTTAAGGTTTCAAAAAACCTAAAATTGCATGCAGTCAGTGTCCTAACAGTCAACTTCCTTTTCTTTCAGGTGGTATTCCTCATGCTTACACCCTCTTAGCACGAGATTTTTACAAGCAAATTTTGGAACACAAGCAAGCTGATAACATCTTGGTACAAGAGTATATACGTCACAAGTGGACATTTCACGTGAAAGGACTGTGGTACTACCCTCCAAATGAGCCTCTGCCTAGCTTAACCTTGATTGGTTCCCCAAATTTTGGACATCGTTCAGTTTATCGAGATTTAGAGGCTCAGGTTGCCATAGTTACAACTGACCAAGATTTAAGTGAAGCACTTCACAAGGAGAAGACTAACCTTTACAGCAGAGTGCAGCAGGTCACCTGTGAGACATTTGAACAATCTGAACGTAAAATACCAGTGTGGGTATATTGTGTAACAAGATTAATAAAGAATCTTCTGTAACACTTGTCTCTTTATTTTGCTTTGCACACAACAAATCCATTTATAAATGATGAAGGACTCAGCATGTGGTCATGAATGTATATAGTAGAGTGCTAGGCATAAACAAATTGAAAGAACTTCTGTTAGTGCTCTGAAAACCTTGAAATATCATTTGTTGGGTGAGTAAGAAACCTATTTTTGGGTTTGCAGACATTAAGTTGGTGTTATCAATGAATGAAGGAGTTTGGTTTGATGTTGTTTCAAGTTTTCAGAGTCGTAAACAGTGGGAATGCAGCTACCACTTGTCAGGCATGTGAGAAATTATCCTAAATTCTGCTGTTTTTGTGGTCTAGGTGTAGTAACTTACCTGTCATTATTATTCAGACTCAAATAATATTGAATAACAGGAGCCAACCTTAGAAATTTAATAATTCTACAAAGTTTATTAAAACTTATGGGAGATGCAACATTGTCATAATTACTGGAAAGATTGCACACAGAGTAATCTGATTCCAATAAGATGCCTAAACCTTGAACTACCTCACCTCAGTACAAGAAATAATGGAACAAATTTTGTTTAAGCTACAAAAACAGAAAATGGAACCAGATAAAATATGCGTGATGCAGACCATATTTCTTTAAATCGTAGCATTGCTGTACATCTTTTCTATATGTTCTAAGAACCCTTCAAGCTGCATGCTCCCCAGTTTCACCCACATTTATCAGTCCTTTAGAACAGAAATATACAGTCACAGCCATTCCATAATTTCTTGAGCCTACAATGTGTGTAACTAACTATTGTATAAGCCAGCTCAAGTTTTACTTAGGTCTGATCAAGTCCACAGTTAATTAATAATCTACTATTTAATACCAGCTCTTTTTAGTTAATTGTAAAAACAAATCTTTCCAGTTTCTGGATGTACTTATAAGTTTAACACTTGCTATATTTATAGAGTTGAAATGCAAGAACACTCTTAATGAACTCATTAACTCCTAGACACCTGCAGTTAAAAGGGTTGGTGCTAAGGAGAGTTTGTGCTCTTCCGTTCCTAAATTGTACTCAAAAATGTAAAAAAAATGAAAATCAGTACTCTTATAAAACAATAATCTTGTTGCTTCACTCACAGTTTACTTTTGGCAAACTTAAAATATTTTTTTTTCTTAATTAAGTACTTTCCAAGCAGAGAATGGCAAAATGTTGACTTAAGAAAAAAAATTATTAAAGTTAAAGCTCTCTGAGGACACTCTTTTTAGGGGATAGCTCTTAACTCATAGGTTACTGGACAAGATTCCTTGATTTTTATAAAAATTGTGTACAACACCAGATGTAAGGGGCCTGACCTTTATGTGGAAACATGTTCTACTTCCTGATAATGTTCACTCACTAAAACTTACAGGCATCAACTGTTGTTAGTTGCAATGCAAGTGCATTATCTTTCAAGTTACTTCAAAAACTCATTAATAATTCATAAGCCCATTAACCTATCAAATGGTAGATAATACATCACATGCAGTGGCTTTATATCGATAAACCTCATCCTTATTAGTATGCGGTGTTTTATCAAATATAAAGACACTGCACGTGACTTATGAATATTAATTAATTATCAACACAGAAACTGACACAACAAATGGTGGGAACATATTTAATGTTCTTTCAACAAATTTCACACAGTAAATTTACTTTTGCACCAAATTAATAGTACAGTTGTGAAATACACATCTGGAAAAATTCTCTATTCCATTAGTACAGTAATCTGGTAAAGGCATATTAGACAATACATCATCTGAAACTTTGAATTCAAGATCAGTTGGCAGAAGTGACTCCAACTCGTTTTCGCTAACCTCTTCGTTTGACCTTTTGCCAGTAGTCTCCCTATTTTCAGGGGGGCCTAAAATCTTGCTAACCTGGTGTTCTTTCAAAACATGTGTGAGATTTGATTTTCTTGCATACTAATCTAATTTTTCTCGTATGCTAATTTCTAACGTTCACAAAAGCATAATTGTTATGAACTCTCTTGACACATGCTTTTCCAAGAATGTTTTTGAAACCTGATAAAACACTCCTGCTCGTTTTTTAAACATTACATAAAAAACTAGGACATCTTTTTAAATTACCAACTAAATTTAGGTTAAAAGAATCATTCAGGCACTTGAAACAACCCCTTTCACTTTGTAACATTTTTTGACGTCATGTACTGACAAACAGATCTGTGACCACAATTAATGAAAAATTGATCAGCTGGTAGATAGAACTGACATACATGTATATGCATGGAAGTTCAGTAGGAGGATAATCATGAACATCAAATGATAAAAGTGAAAGGGTTAAAACTGAATAGAATGTTCATTACATGTATGTTGCCTAAAAATTATCCTAAAATCACACATAACTGCCAGAGTTCTTTTATGATCTTTCCACATACACTGATATGTTTTAAAGACTCCAAGCAAGTCATGATAGTGCTGAACTAACCAATCATCTCAAATTTTACCAGCAGGGTATCATTCTTGGTGTAATGTGGCTGACAAATCAGCTCAATGGGGGCAAATTTTGGGTAACCCAATCCATAGTAGTTGTGCGGTGCCACTGGTCTTTGACATGCTTGCAATTTAGGTTCAGCCACCAGGGTTTCACTGATATCATGATGCTCCCCTTCATCTTCAGATTGATCCAAGATGGACAATTTGAACTTTTTAGCAAATGGCCATTGTAAGAAATCGTCATGATCACCTCGCATCAAATGAATGAACAATGCCACATGTTTGCCAACACCATCATCTACACCATTCATGTTGATTCGCATGCACAGTTTGTACCCAGGATACAGACTGGTGTAAAATGGTGGGCTGTAATTTGTTGGGCTTGCTCCACTGATGGCACCTTGGTAACAATCTCTGAACTTTTCTATTTTCCAGGTATATGTTCCATCACAAAAACGTCCTGCTTGCTTCCTCAACCTATAATTTTAATTGGGATAATGAAAGTTGCTGCTGTTCATTAGGGAAAACAAAGTCACTGTTTTAAACTTAAGATACATGAGGTACAATGGACAGAAACTCAGGCTGTGATGCTCCTGCCTTATGGATGTTAGATTTATTTTAGGTCAGTTTAAGTTGCACCAAAAGAAAGTGCAATCTTGGCAAATTCAGGGAAAGATTATTGGAAATAGAGTTTGAAAATTTAGCTTCCCAAGCTAGCTTCCTAAAAGTTATCATTAATTATCCAGCTCTGGGCGAACTTACATAATTTCTTGTTCACGCAGTGGTGTCTCAAGTCTCATATGTGCTTCCTTAGTTGCCTTCAATTGGCATTCCAGATGAAGCACCTCATTACTGAGCTGGGTATAATGATTCTTTAGCTCCTCTAATTCACTTTGCTGTTGTTGGGTCAGCCTTCCTTCCTGGTCTTCTTGTAGTTGATGAAATTTTAAGCAGTCGTTGACATGACTTGAAAGCTGCTCCATGATATGTTTGTTCACATCAGATCGAAGACCCTGTAAAATCAAAGAGTCTGTGAGACAACTCACTAATGAAGATGTGCATTAAAGTAGAAAGATCATTGTGAGAGATGACACACAAATGCATTTATGTAATGCTTCCACATGCCAAAGATGGAAAATTTATATTCAATGCAGTTTATTTAGTAGAGGGGGACAGGAGGGCAGGAGCACTGGAAAAGGTGTAAAATAAAACTTTATAAGCAAGAAAGCAAAACTTTTCTCTCAGGTTGAAAAGAACGGCAGAATACTGGTAAAATTAGATACCTATCCAAGTCAGTTTTGTGATAGGTCATGAATGAATTTGTCAGTATCTTGCGAGCTGTAATTAATGGTCAAAATTCTTCAGCAAACAAGTTTAAATAAGTCAGGTCAAATGCACATAAAGCACATTTCAAACTACAATTATAGCTATTGGATGGCACAGTGGACTTAAAATTTCTTCTCTATAGTGAATTGCCCATCAAACTGTGATAATCAGGTCAGTGAAAACTGGCGTGTGATGATGTTCATCTTGAGTAAATTACCTCCCCTCCCCTGAAAAAATGCAGCACCACAGATGACGGGCTAACACTCGAAACATCAGCTTTTTTACCCTTTATGGTGGCCAATTAAAGTTTTCAACTCAGTTGTTAACACTAAATTGCCTGCTATACTCTCCCACCGACACAGCACCAGTTTCTTTAAAAACTTACCCCCTCTAAGAATAATATGTTTTGGCAACTCGCTAATAACCCAGGTTTCTAATACTTATTACTGACCCAAAGATGGGAGTAATACAATGAAGAGCGGGAGTTGGGAGGCAGATGGGAACAAAAGTCCAGGAGGAAAGAGAATGTGGTACAGGAGGTGGGACACTATGACCCCCTAACTCAAACCCAGGTTTAAGTTATCAGGGGTCAACTGTATACTTGAATGTCACAAGGCCATATACATAATTATTCAAATAAATACCTCAAATGAGCATCCGAAAGTGTGTAGGGGGCATTTAATTCTCACATTTACACACACTCGTTCCAAGTGGTATTCCATCTAGCAAGGCAATGCATAATAATATCAGAACCAAGAATATTTACTTTAATAAATAGAAACTATAGGCTACATACGCACAATATTTTATTGTACAATTATAAGGAAGTATAATAGGTAGGATGTTCATTAATCTCATTAAAGATATAACAAGGATAAGGTAGACAATCACGGGTGTCCTTTGCAAAAAAATTTTAACATGCTACTTAAAGCATACCACCATAAAGTACAGATATACATCACTAGAAATGTTGTGAAATGCACTATTTGACAAAAATTGTTTATTTTCAGCTTGATCTAATTGTAAACCAAATGGGGCATCACAATTCAATATGGACAATGTTCCTTTAAGCAAATTAATCACATATAAAATCTGACAGCTCAAGTAAATCTTCTGCACAGTTTCAATCCTGATGGGTTGGTCTTGAAAAACTTGTTGGGATTTTTCAATATTCTTACTGGTTGCTTTGCAATTTACCTGAGTTGTAACAACCATACTGTATGGCGCCTTTGATAACACCAAAGTGATAGATGAAGGAAACTTTCAAATTCAAACAGAATTCATGTTGCAGTGCATCTGTTCAGTTATAGATCACAGATGACATCCAAATGTGGCAGGATCATCCTGTAGTGACACCCTCAGCTTGGCCTAGCATACCCCTTTTTTCCTCTTTCCATGTCCTCATGATGTCATTTATGGTCTACTACTGAACAGATGCACCACAACATGGAATCTGTTTGTGATAAATGGAGAGTAAACTGCTTTGCTAATACTACAACCAAATGAATGCTGAGATTGGTCAACCCTACACTAGGTTTCTCAAGGGGCATGTAGTTTCTCAAATGTTTGAAAAAGAGTATGTTTGCAGACCTCCTTTCGCTCCACGATGGACTGAGGAGAACAAGTAACAAACAAAGATATCCTGTAAGTTACATAACTTTAAATAAAATGTGTTATTTACAGTTTGTGGAGAAATGTTTTGTTCATGACATTTTCAGCTTTTTTTCATTGTCTTGATGCACAATCCCTCTTTTTTTTTCTCTTCTTTGCCCAACTTTAATTATGGACCTCTGCCCCATGAACCCACAAGTTGGAAATTTAAGAGGTTAAAATTTTGTACCTTGTACTGATGTCTACAGTCATTTTCACCTGCCTACACAGACCAATGATCTCCTCAGCCCATTAACTCCCCAAAGGGCTGAGGAGAAAGAGAAAAGGTTTGCATCCCACACAACAATAGAGATAGAAGCATGGTGAAACAACATCCCCCTGAAGGGACCTGGTGCTAAGTTGGCCAATCCCAGCATTCATTCTGACCTCAGCATTTGCAAAGTTGCTTATTGTAAAGATAATGACACTCATTTTGTTATAATTGCAGATTCTCTGATTCAACTGATATAATTACAAGAATTGCTAAATCAAATAGAAAGATCTTACCTTGCCTCTCTCAATACCATCTTTCTCACACATGTTACATCGTTGTGGATACTGGGGGCAGTTTTCAAAATGTTGCTGAAACCAAAAAAAGCATTAGTTATTGCTTAAATTATGTCTCATGGTATAGATTTTGATATGAAAGTTATTTTACAACCACTTAAGAAGAGGTAAAAAAATTAAACAATAATAGAAAATTAAATTTTTTTTTTGCTAATCACAAGAGCGCCAATGTTGGAAGGATGCTTGGAGGCAAAATTCTTTCACATTATAATAGGATACCTAAAAAAAAAAATAGAATGTTGTCTTTTAATAAGTTATTAACTAGTCCTTTCCATAAGAGTTAGCCCTTACCTTTTTCTGCAATTAAACAACAGAGTTGAAAAAAGGGTGAAGGGGGGGGGGGGGGGGTGGGGTGGGAGTTCCCAAAAACAAATGTTCTGAATCAATACATAGTCTTAGCCTTCTGCAAATGTGCACCAGCAATAAAGCCTTTGGAGCATACATCCATAATTAAATGTATAGTGAAAAATGTCAGATGACATTCCTTGATAATAATGTATTATGTATTCATTGACTGAGTTTGGTCACACTGGACTGGAAAAATCATCAGCTCAAGAGCCAAATGTTGTCCTGTCTGGCCTGACCAAACCCAATCAATAAGCTTCTTATCATATGACTAATAATTGTTGAAAATATTGTTCAACCCAATGGGAATGTGATAGATGGGTGCATGAGGGACAACCACAAAAAAGATTTTTCAATTTGAATTTTTTTGAGAACAACAAGAAACTTGTAGTTTATGAGTGTGAGTGTGGGACTGGAAGGTGAATTCAGACCAGCTCACATCAACTCATCCTGCTCCATACAGGTCTGTTTTTACTTAAGGTTTTCTATGGGAAAATTGTGTGGGAGGGGTCACTCTTCATATGATATATAGTATTATACAATTTAGGGTTACAAATAATATCAGTAGGGAATACCATGTGATTTTAAAGTATGAAAAAAACAATTAACAAATCTATGTCTACCTCCAATTCATTCCACAAAACTGCCTCATTACAATAATCACAGGAGATTTTCCTAAGCAGACATTCTTCTGCCATGTGTTGCTGGAGATCTTTCTGTTTTACTTGTTTCTCACAGTCATTAGGGCAGCCAACCATAACAAATGGACACTCACTTCGGTGATCCTATTATACAGATGCAAATTGGTCATTTTTAATTGCACAATTTCTCTACCTGGAGCCAATGGTACTTACAGTCGTCTCTACACCTTATCAGATTGCCAGCAGGTAAAGTAATGTACAGAAAGAAAATTATCAAAAGTCTAGGGGGATCTTTTTTGACGGGCTTTTCAGTTTTTAGATAATCTAAGTATGTCTGCTGTGATAAGATCTTTACTTTGTGTAAAAGAATGCACCTTTTCTGATGTGCGTATCTTCTAGAGAAAGCAAATCTCTTCTTTTATTAAATGAGCAGCCATTACCAGTATGTTTGTTAAACAGTTGTTGATTTTCAACTGAGTTGATTGTTGAATTAGCTTTAATTATGTCATTTTCTAATTATATTTCCTATTAAATAATAATTGATAAAATAAGGATCCACTCTATTGCCGTTACTATTAACAATTCTCATTAATTAATAACAATTCTCACAAAGTTCAGCAACATAAAGACAAAAGAGATTTTCCAAATTGCAAAGCAACTGCTTTCTATCTGTTTTCCTTCTTAGGAAACTTTGGTTTAACAACCTTATTTTCTGACAAACTCAAGAGGAAATACCTCTAACTTCCCAAGAGTTCCTTACCAAAGACATTCATTTTTTCTATTTGCTTGACAAAAAACCCGAAGGGTCATCATCTCTCGTTCTGCAAACTTGTCTGCGTATATCTTGGGTTAAAATATAAAAATGATAATAAAATAAACTCATTTAGCGACCAACAATGGGTTCAATTCTAAGTAACAAAAGGAACTTTGCTGTTTGCTTCAAATTAACATGATTTCTCAAGCAATTTAGTGTAAATAGGCACTTGTAACTTTTCAAAGAATAAAACTTTCACTTGCCCTAAGGGGGTGCACTTGAAATCAAGCTATTACCATTTTGCCAAAAATATGATGGTTCTCTAACTTTCTATGCACAGAGGGTCCCCAATAGGCTTCTTCAGTCCTGCAATCCCTACTAAAATTTTATTTCAATCCCATAATCTTGATGGCCTACACAATCAATCATGATCCTGATCATAAATGTTTGTTCTTAGTCCATTCCCTCAACTTAAAAGAGCCTTTACAGTGGGTGATGATTTTCTCAACCAGAATTGATACATTGAAGTCTTTGCTCACCGTTAGATGTAAGTTTATCTATTTTCACCCAAATGATATTGTTCATTTCAGAAGTTTTCAAAGTTTTACAAGAATAACATATGGTAGTCACAGTAATGACTTCCTTCTTTTAAACTTTGATCATGGAAAATATCATCAGTAAAGAGGGTCCCCAATAGGTTTTTCGGGATCCAGGATTTGGCTTATTTGAA